GTAGAGGTATTCCCCATCTATGGAGCACGGAAAGAAGCTGCTTGCCGTGAGACGGTGCTCACGACTGTGCGAAGCTAATGCTGCAGTGACTTCCTGTGTGAGCCGAAGCTTTGATTTCTGTGCAATGACTACTCGAAACCTTTTCAGGGATCGTTCGCCATTCACGGTCACTACCATAGCAATGGCAAGAGGTGGTTTGTCTTGAGAGCTGAACGGTGTATTTAGGCCCCACTCAAGAACCGCCTCTGCATCAGATGGCACGTACTTGGGCTCGTGGAACTGGACAGTGCGATCTTTAAGGGTATAATACCCGTAGTGGTACATTGCAAGTGTCTGCGCCATACCGATCAGCCCAGCCATATCAATGGGGGAGACAATGTACGTATGCTGGATCGCTCGAGTGAGCGCAACATTGGCTCGTCCAAAGCAATCCTCTTTGTCTTCTGCCGTTGCTCCTCGCCGTCCCCCACTGAGGAAACCACATCCTGTCTGGACTACTACTGCTATTCGTGCCGTGGCTCCTGCTGCTAATGAGGTGGTAGCAATCCGCAAACCTCCAAACCATGCAGCCTGGAAGCCATGCTGCAACAGTTGTGTGTGCACTGCCGTGCGATTACACATGACGAGGAGCTGCGCCGTCGCACCTTCATTGAGGTCTCTATAACACTTTTGTAGGTGATTGAGAAAGACCACAATATCCTCAATAGCTGCTAGGAGGTCTCTGGAATATTTAGGTACTTCCCATAACACCGTACGGAATCCTCCCTGCCCAACCGTGTAATCGTGGGGGACAAAATGGCCTATTTGTATGGGATCCTGATCATGGAGCACCAATTCCGGGTATCGGACTGCAACAATGGCTTTATACGTCAATAGGGAGACTCTGGAGCTGTTGGGCAGTATGATGTTCCATCGATGCGGACCATCCAGGCCGGCTGCTTCAATCGTGGTTGTACACTTAGGGATGCCAAATTCTTCTGGTGCCGTTGCAATGAGCAGGACAGCCAGTATCGCAGAAATCAAGCAACTCTGAACATTCAGGTGGCTAAGCATTTCCTCACTGAAAAGGCGTGCCAAGGAGATTGGTAACTGTTGGGCAGTTGTCGCCGTTACCCAAGTCCCTGTATGCGGTGCTTGGCCGAGATTGAGTAGCCGCGCCACTTCCGAATCGCTGTCCTGGCTTGCATCCGGCCACAGGAGTGCAATTAACTTGGGGAGCCGGGCAGGAGGCAGATAATCTCCAGGGCGATTCAAAGCCCGTAGTCCCAGGGGACGGTGGAGAAGCTTTTGTCTGTTCGCTGCTGCCGCCCTTCCCTTGGATAGACCTCTAGGCGTTTGCCTATGGTCGCCGACAAACACTAACAGTGCTGGTTGCTGGATTGCAGCAAGAGCGGCAATTTCATGGTAGTTGCCGTACTGTTGACTTTCATCCATAAATGCAAGCCAGACTTTGTTTCACGGCGGTAGTTTCTCACCACTTTGTTGTGACCCGGCGTTGTCGGTGTTTGCTTCAAAGTGTCAGGGTGAATGTCATGCCATGATGGCTGCTCTTTGTGATCTCGGGGATCCTGGCTGGGGGGATCCCTGGTTTCCGCATTGAGCTTTTTTGCTTGCACCCTCGGAGTGGCCCTTTGTGATTTTGTTGGTGGTTTGGTTGTTGTTTGTTTTATTTATGGGCCGGCGAACATGACACATAAGCTGTCATCTGCATGTGCCGAGACGATACTAAGCTATCACAACTCGCTTCAACAGAACTGTTTCACCCATAAACTGGAACCCGTCACGTCACTGTTGTGCGTTTGTGTGGTTGTTTGTTTTTTGTGTGGGTCGTTGTTTTGTTTTTTGTTTGGGTTTGTTTTTGGCGTGTTTTTTGCTTTCTGTTCTTTGTGCTTCGGTTTTTGCTCTCGAATGTGACAAGGGATTTGGACTATGTATCGGTCCTTTACCAGTTTACTTTTGCGGCCATTACAGCTTCGGCCCCTGCACGAGTCAATTAATTAATCTCATTTGCAACATGCTTGGAAACATGTTGAACGACCTGGCGGAAGCCATACGGCGTTGGACGGAAAAAATAAATGCAAGCCAGACTTTAGAGCCAGAGACTAAAGGACGAATATTTCATGGCCATCTCCGCCGTAGCCGAGCCACCCGTTGCAATCAAGATGCGTTTCTCAGCAATAACCTTGTTGCGATCACTGCATCGCACATCAATTTTTGTTGCATACGCCTCACCTTTCCCTTCTTCGGTCCAAAGGCACTTCGTGTGGGGGGAGCAAGGTCACTGATTTGGTCTGCCAAGGCTTTTGCAGCAACATTTTCTTTGGTGTACACTATGGCATAGAAATCACCGAGCTCGCAGCTGAGGGCAATTAGCAAAACCGCCAACGAATGTGTCTTACCGGCACCAAAAACGCCTGCAATGCAGGTCAGAGCGGCCAGTGAGGATCGCCAGGAGCAATGCTACTGCTACCGTAAGGACGTGCCCATCCCCATGCGCAGCCAATGTGAGTAGGCTATTACGCATATATTCATTATGCGGGCCAGGGATGGCAACTCCAATAGGTGTCAGTAATCGACAGAGCACTCGGACCAATGCGTCCGTCAGCTTCGTACGACGTTCGCTCATCATTCTTCGCACTGGGATGTTGGGCTGCAAAATGCCCATCGTCAGCGGGAGGCGTGCCGGGTTTGCCTGTGCGAACACCAGCAATTCACATCTGCTTCTTGTGTCACCAAGGAAAGCCATTTCTTCCATCACAAGTGGCAGGTGCACAGCAAACAAACTGTGTGCAACGCACTTGTGCGGTGAAATTGATGTTTTATGAACTTGAGTCTTGAATTTTTCATGCAGTTCGTTTTGTTGTTTGCAAAATTTTGGAATGTGATCGAGAGAAACCTGAACGATGCGATGGAATGTGCAACATCGGTTAATGTCAGTCGACTGTGCAGTCTAGATGCCAGATGTGACTATGATCAAGTGTAGCATCTGTCACAAACAAACGTGAAACTTTGAAACATCCACATGCCATGAAAGGGTTTCATACATGTCCACTGATCAATAAATCTTATGGCGGATTTTACATCCCAATTGCGGTGGGTGGGTGGGTGCATGTGCTATGAGAACATTGGATTGTTCAGTTTCACCCACCCTCCCACCCACCTCTGAAACTCAACAATCCTGTTGTCTATATCCCTCTCACATGGGAGATGGAGGTCAAATGCAAACACAACAAATGGTAAAAGCAACCTAACGGATCATGCAATCCAAGTCCACTAACAGTGGATGAATTTTTCCATCGACACCCCAATTCTGCGAAGGAAAAAATAACAACGGTGTGATCGTGTCGGCAATCATCATGTCATGGTGTGCACAGTTTTCCAATTTCACGTTTGATGTTTTCCATTTTTGCTTTGCGAGACGTTTTTGGCGACGACGTATTCAAGGCTAATATACCATATGTAGGTATACCGGGTTTATACTAGATGTGATGATATAGTCTGCTCGTTTACGTATTGTATATGTTTTGAGTTGGCATGTATATATATATATATATACATACATATATATTATATATGTGTATATATGGCATATGTGCTATGAAAACATGTATGTGTAGGCTCCTTATACAACTGGCGCAACTCTGTGAGATGTGTTTTGCAATCGCATCCCTTTTGGCGTTTGAAAGTTCCTCCTGGCTATAAAAAACTTCATATTTTGTATTTTAGCTGAAGAACCTTTTGGATTACACATTTTTTTCGGAACTCACGAAATCTTGTCATCAACTTCTGGTGTACAGTAGTTCATACCCCATTTGGTGTAAACACACCTGAATTATATGTTACACATCTGGGAATATTTCAGTGGATCAAACTTGAGGGTTGGAACAATTTTTTTGCCCTGCCATCGGAAAGAAACATGGCAAGTCAATAGCAAATGGTGTGAATCCATTCTTTACCAAAAAAAATAAAGAAAAGGGGAAAAAACACCGCTATTATAAACGTGCGCATTTTCCGGAGTGCATCATTTTCAGTGATGTCCTATTTGTCTTATTTATAAAGCGGCTGTTGAGATATTGGTGATAGATACCGTGGCGATAGCCTTACCTCGTTATATATATATATATATTTTGATTGCGGGTTTCACTAGATTTGAAACTGGTTAGCGAGAGTAGTTCCCCGTTTTTTCCCATGGGAGGGTTTAGGGAAGGATACTACTTACGTACCTAGCACTGATTCTTCCCACCTCTGCTTTTTCATCTGCTCATATTGTCATTTTTTTGTTTTTTCAACTTCCTTGGATGCTTAAAAGATATTGGATTCATGTTGATTCATGTTTTTTAGTTATAGGTGGCTCAACCACTAACCGGCCCAGGTTGTCAACAAAATTCAACAAATTTGGCCCCAATGGGGCCCATGATGTATCCTCATGTTCCCACTTCCAATGGTCGTTTTAGTTGGTACCAAGCCATTGACGCAGGTCCGGTTTGATTCATGGCTAACCACTGAACCACTATTGTCTGCTGTAGCTGCCCAAGAAACCGTGAAAGATGGGTCATGTTAGGTCCGGTTAGGCTAAACTATGGTCCTTACCATAGTTTATGGCGTCCACCTTGGGATGGTACACCTTTCACTCCAAAGGATCACATGGTCAGAAATAAATTTGATGTTGTTGGACACCTCAAAACTAGTTTTTACATCATTGTTTCAGGTCACAAGATCTTACAAGATCCGGGTTTTGGCAATCAAATGACTGGTTTTTGTATCACCAAACTATCACTGGGGAAATTGACGCCAGTCGTGTCCGCTGAATTCGGATCAACAGTGGGGAAAATTTACCGATGTGAAGTGTACCAGGGTACCATTGTCCTTGCTTACATCTTTTAAACCACACGGTCTTTCAGTGTTGCTCTGGCAATGGAGTAGTTGAATTTTCTTGGGTCAGCAGGATTTTTTTTAAAAATCAAACAGTTCATTCATCAAGTTTTGCCAAGGAATAACAGTGAACTGCCCGCTCCGATGAGTTGCGATGCTCACAATGGAAGGTTTTGTCCAGAAACGTGTTCCAAGTCCGTACAAGAGGCTTGTACTAGATCGACTGTTGACAGTTTTTCTCAATTACACGGATTTAATCACTGACATTTTGGTCATGCTGCAGTATGGGTGCTTTCTGCAACATACACTCAGTACCAATTGCACTACGGGCATTGAGAATGTCGGAAACGTGACAACCAGCTGGATTCCCACCTGTGAACCACATTGGTGGTGGTTTGGGCTTAGCCTTTCCATTTTGGTGGTGTCGACTGTTGCACACGCCTTTGTTTACACCATAAGACCCGGTCAAAATCAGAAATTCTGCTGCTTCTGCTGCCTGGGCATCTTCCAACTGACTTACCTTCGAGATCTGTGGCTTGCAGTGCTGTATCCAACCACTGCGGAAGCTGAAGAGGAGAAACACTCCACAGTGGGCCGCGACTTCACGGTCAAGATCCTGGAATGTACTCCGCAGCTCTACTTACAGACTTTTGTGCTTTTCTCCATTCAAGCTCATGGAGATCGACTGAAAGTGGTCTCAACGCTTCTATCAGCAGCTTCGCTTGCGCTCGGACTCGTGAAGTTTATGGCGGCACAGTCGGTTTATCAACAAAATTTTCTGCAAACTTTCGCCAGGAAATTGACCGTGGGCCTGTTTTTGACCACAGATCAGCTCCTGCGTGCCTCGGCCTATAGCCTGATGCTATCAGAGGTGGCACGGCCGCTGGGGATTCCAATCATCTTGCTGTTCCCAGTGTTGTCCTTGATCATTTGCTACAAGGCTTTGGGCCGCAGTGGTTTTGGAGGTTTTTGTCTGGCATTTTCTGTGGGTGTCTTGGCTGGGCACATCTTGCCACTCTTCAGTCTCACCAGCACATTGGGTGACTCCACAGACTTTCGGGGTCCTGCGTGGTGGCAAGAAATTTATTTCTACTTGGCCTTGCCGCTGCGATACATCGAGATGACCTTCTGTGGTGTTGTTGGACTCACAGTGGCCAAAACCACCTGTGGGCATGTGCCAGTGATTGAAATGATCACGTTCTTCAGCCTGATGGTTGGGAACCTCGTCTTTTTCATCGCGATGTTTTTTTGCATGTCCAAGACTCAGGTAAATCCCACTGACGAATTGCAGGCAAAACCTGACTCGCCTCCCATGACACTGGTGGGGGCGAATTCCGTGCCTCAGGGCAATTAGTGCCGGAATGGCAAGGCGGCAAGGACATGTTTCGCGGCAAAACACATCAAAACTAACTAACTCATCGAACTCATTCAAATTCTGTGATATGATATACTATTTGAATCTATTTGAGTAATGGTCAATATTGTAGTTACACATCAATAGGGGATGGTCCTCCAATGGTTATCAAATATTATAGAGGTTGACCATTGCTCACATGCATCATCGCATTGACAATGTGTTTCACAAGGTTCAGTGGGCTCAAGATGAGCTCGTCGGTTGCAACGATGAAGATCACATTTGGGCCCCAAAGAAACAGATTTAGCAGCCATCGATGGAAAGGATGTCAAGGAAATATTCGCAGGATGGCTGCGAACCACAAATTCTCTGACCCCAACACAAACGTTGCGCAATTTCTTTGGGGCCGAGAGAGAGAGGAAGACACCAACATTCCTTGACAAAGCTCACTCAAGGCTGTGTGGGACCTCTCAGGAAAATAGGCTCAAGTTGGTACTGATACTGACCTAAATCAAACACTGCAATGGAAAATTTCAGGCCTAAAACAGTTTGAGTTTAGGACTCGACCACATGATCTGGGTGCGGCAATGATCCGCCGATTCCCAGCATCACTTTTTAGCCTCTTGAGGTGCAAACTACACGTGGAAAAAGGAGGGGTGCCCGTGCAGAGCTCCTGACTTGGATAGTCAGGAACGATAGCAGCAACTAGCAGGAGTTGTTTCTTGTTCGTGTAAGTCAACAGGAGGGCTGTGGGTTAGGCCTGGCAACCTTAGAGGCAACAAAACTCGATATCAAGACATCAAAAAACATGATGACGACAGCAATCCGATATACCAACAACATGCTTTTGTCGACCAATCCTTGAGATTCGAATGACTTCTTGAAATGACCCAACTGTTCCAATCAGGGACCATTTCTGCTTGTGGCCGTGTATCGACTATGCTTGGCCACCTTTCTTGTGAGATAGACTATAGAGACTACAGCAAGGAACTTTTGGACACACATTCAGATTGCGCAGCATGTGATTGGTTGGCTTAGCACTCCAAGCCGAGATGTGAGACATGTTTGAGGATTGGAGATTAACCTCAGCAGGTTCCTGTCCGGGAAAATTTGCAGTCCGCCAACATGATGTCCATTTGGTGTCGTGTTTTGATTTAGCTTTGCTGGCCGCAGGCTTTATGCCCAAACAACCACATTTATGAGATCCTTTCAATGCAGATGATACCTTCGAATTGTATTGTAACAGCGGCAGCTACAAATGATTTCATTGAAAGATTGAAAAGTCGGTGCAAGGAAGCTGAGTCACCGGGAAAAGATGAGCATAAACTAGAAACAAAGAGTTTGACATCCAGTCCTGGAAGTGTGATCGTGGTTCGCCGGTCGAATTTTCGCCATGTTATCGCCCGCCCTTGCTTTGGCTGTGGCAATATCGCCTGCCCAGTCACGAGACGTGAAACTCTTGCCGTATCTCTTGGGAACTGCTCCCAGAAGTCCGAAATGGCTCGCCCGACACAATCGCGAGGATAGGAAAAAATTCAGACAAGCCACGTGTCGCTTGGCAATTTCCATGAGCATTTTGCATATATTCTTGGTGGATGTGACTGTAGTGTTCCATGAAAATAAGTTTTGAACTAAGCATGCTCAAATTTTATACCTTGAAACCACTTCATTTTGCCCAAACCGTTTGGATACGTCAACCCTTTCCAGCAACTGCCAGGCAGTTTTGGGGTCCTGGGTCTATTGTCCAACCTGGGGCGACTCACCTTTATTCTGAGAAACATCGTGAATTCCTGTCCACAGTCAGTGGAAGATTCTGCATCGTACCAACCAGGGGAGGAAGCAACGCTCCCGGTGAAAGTGACCTGGCAACAGAGATTTCTGTTATGGGCCAGGCAGCGGACATATTTCCACCTGTCAATTCTATGTTGAGGGCTTTCCTTGCTGATACACTACTTTGACAATTTAAATTGCATTTTCCTGTCGATTCCCTTATCCCTTCAGCTTCACTCAAAATTTCCACTATTTCCCGCTACTATACCATCATCTGCAGAGTCATAGTGCCGTTTTTTGGGAGGTACAACATCAGTCAGCGATGGAATTTCACCTCAGTTTCCATCCGTCGAGTAGCAGAGTAGCACTCTTGTTCCCTCGCAACCTTTCCCCTAATGGGTCGCCCAAATATGTGGATGGTTTTGAAATTAGTTTCTTTCCAGCAACATCTGACCCCGGTTTAACGCTTTTCACTATAAATAGCATTTGCTTCCATCCCTGAATCCCATTTCTTATATTTTTTCGATTCCACTTAGTATCTCAAGTTTCCCAACTCTCCCAGTCCATTCCCATTTTTTTCCCTCCTTTTCTCATATCCCTTTGAGGTCTGTTTGCTGAGCGTCAGCGCCCTGTTCGGTGGCCTGGCGCAGGCCGCGCGCTCGCTGACGGTCTTGGTCTCCACCTGCGCGCGCACGGCCACAGTGGAGGAGGGCTGCGCCGCCTCCATCGAGACGGTTCTGGTGCCGGCGACGCTTTTCATCAACGGCGGCATCGCCATCTCGGCGGCCTGCGACAAGGGACAGCGACAATGGATGGGGAAGGGATATGAAGGGAGGTTTCAAGAAAAATATGTGGTGGTAGCTACCAAAGCAGGGGGAAATGAGATGTTCTCATTTTTGACTTGGTGAAAGATAATATGTTGATACAGAAAATGGAAAGAACCTTAAAATTGACGAAGAGGAAACCATTGAAAAACAACATGAACTTAGGAACCTGAAGTATCTGAAATCATTCAACAAATTAGAGCTAAGTTTATGGAGCTGTACCATGATTCTGATTGGTTGCATTGCGGCTCCCTCTTTGTTTCTTATGTCTCGGCGAAGGAGCGGTGGATCTTCCAAAGGATATTCAACCCAACCGTCGCTTGCTGGATCCGCGGGATCTGCCTGTGCCTGGTCTGGGGATGTCAATGATTTGTTGTGGAAGTGTTTGACAGATGCATTCCAGGGCGAGGTCTACCAGTCTACCGAAGTCCAAAAAAAAAGGCGTGTTGTCACCAGAGAATACCAGAGATACCTTGGAGTTGTAGGATGCCTTGGATTTTACGGGAGTTTTGGGGCCCCCAGTAAAATCCAACTGGCTTCCAGACGTTTCAGAGAAAACTTGTCCAGGTGAAGCGTCAATGGGACATCGCTCAGTGTACCATGGATGCCATTGATGCGGCCCGTTCCGTGGCAGCGCTGGGGCTCACACTTGACCTCCTTTCCAGGCCTGGGGAGCAGGTGACAACAATGGGGGGCAGCAAATCATCCATTCTACTAGGTTTTCCATGGTTGGTTCTTCTCCCGTAGGGATAAGGCTTTATTGACAACACTAAAGAAACTGTAATGTACAGTTGTCACACTCTTGGATGTCAATTGGACATGTTCGCAGATTGCAGTCTTCATCACTACACATTCTGATAGCTGTTATCAGCTCAATTTTCCAAAATTTTCGTTCAGTTTTCATCCACCGTCGTGATTTTTGATGCTGCCTGTGTCTTCGGCGCCCACCGGGTACATCGAGACCAACATCTTCTACTTGAGAAGCGACGAGCAGCTTCCGACCCATCTGCAACCAGATGCTCACTTCACGTACGGTGTGCATGAAAATTGGACACATCTCTTCAGGGACATTTCAGAGAACACATGTGGACTACTACCCTGCCACGTGCTTGGTGTGGCTCAGGATGATCAAATGTCTGACGACAACGACGAGGCCAACTCTGACGACACAGGTGATCATCCACCAGATACTAGCACTGCCCCTGTTGCAGATACTAGCACTGCCCCTGCTGCAGCTACTCCAGCCGCCGCGTCCACTGACCTTGTGCCGGTGCACCCAGATGCTCTCCCAGTTGGTCCTGTCCGCCAGGTGTTGCCTCTCGAAATCCAACAACAGTTGGAGATGAACCTGAACGCAGCGGTGCAGCCAGTGATCCAACACCTACGTCGCACAGGCCTGACTGAGGAAGATGCCGTGAATGAGGCACGCAGTGTGGCGTGGAATCACATCCGCAATATGGGTGGCCTCAACACCCGCCACACCAAGAACCGCCGTACCGGCACATCTGAGTCGCCCCGATGGTACTAGCCTTCCAGCAGCTAGCAAGGGGAAGGGCCTACTGGAATGGCAGCAACAGTGGCCTACTTGGAAGGGGCCTACATGAAATGGCAGTCAACATGGCCTGCATGGTATGGCGAACTTTGGTGGCCCACTGACAGCAAACTATGGTGGAATTGCCATCAAGGTGCAATCTGTGCATGAGGCCCTGAGATTTCCCTTTTTCCTTTTGAACTTTTTCTCCATACAATTCGGATCTACGTCGTTGAGATCGACCTCATTTACATGAAAATTTGTTTACTCTGACATACAGAGGATGTGACCCTGCAAAGCCTGGGAGCCGTGAAAATCAATAGGCAGTGGTTTTGCCGCAGTCGTGTCGGAGATTCCACCAGCCGGGCTCAGAAGTTTGTCGATGTGACAACATGCAAGATGTTTGCAATGTTCACAGGTTTTGATTGCACGAGTCCTGGTTTGGCTCCAGCACGGGTTTTTCCATATCGCGCTCCTGGGTTTTCTGCTTGGGCTCCAAAGATGTATCCAGTTTGTTACTTTAGTTGACTAACACCAGAAAATTTCTGAGTTTGTCAAATTGCTTGAGCTAGTTTTCAATTCAGCGCCAGTGCTTGTAGGTGTGGCCCCACGGGCACTGGTCCCGACTGGACGAGGACGGAGTCTGCGCAACGGAATGCGTCACCAAGCTTTATGTGCTTGAGACTTCAATAGAGAGATGTTCTCTTGTGTTGGATGGATGTCATCCCCTTTCAATTTCATTGGTGCAATGTTCAGGAACTGCTCTCCAGGGTCGCCCATTGGAGCGGTGTTGAGTCGGATCCTGACTGTGCAGGCAGCCACAATGACACACAAGATGTTTGGTGAAGACAGCGAGTTGCTGTTCATGATGATTTCAACCTGTTTGGGGTCTCAGGACTGAAGTCTACGACCCTATCCGTGGTCTCAGCCTCATAAACTTCATATCACTACCAGATTGTATGTTGAGCACATTATGTATGATTCTGTTACCGATTTGTCTATGTCTAGAAGAGCACTGTCGTGTAGGGGACATAAACGGTGATCCTGTCAGGTAACCGCAGTAGGTCTCTCCTCCAGTCACAACCTCAGTTGTGACACACAGGATGTGGCCTTTTCGTCGGCATCACTTGTGTTGCCCCATTTTGGGTCCATGTTAGATCAAAGCAGATGTTGCAAGCCTTGGAGGTGCCACATCATCTCCTGGAGGGAGCGGGCCAACCGTAGCCTTATTGTGGAGCCAGGCCAGAAAGTCAGATGTTGAAATGTGCATTCCACTATCAGGCATCAGCTAAACACACAGATGTTTTATCACGACAGATGTTGTCGACCATGGAGGTGACTTTGTCCACCACCGGAGTAGCAGGCCTACTTGGCGTCGTGTGAGACCGGGTGAGCCACCACAGATGTTGAATATGTGGCTAAGTCTTCAGGACATGAGCTGGAGTTCGGATGTTGGACAACACGAATAGCTGCATGGCCGCAGGTCTCAGATCTGCAGACTTTGTGTGAGGCAGGATCCTTGATCTGTCATGCAGACGAGCATGCATCGTGGCAAGAGTCATGTCACCCTTGTGGATCAGCAATGTAAGAGTTGGATGTTCGACTCATCCCAGGTGAGCCGTGTGGGAGGCCAGCTAACTGTTGGCGCCAGCCCTGAGAGCGCTAGTTTGCATGCGTGCGGTGAGGCACATGGTCTAACCAGTCAACAAAGAGAGAGCTTTCAGGCAATGTTGAATGAAGATCATTTCAACAGTTCTGCACCTCCAAACATTGTCATGCCGTGGGACATGCCGGCCATGTCACTTGTTTTTGGTGGACCAGAGAGGCCAATAATCCCACCTGTGAGACCGGTGCTGGGGTATGTTGAGCCTGCTCCATCGAGCGCAGCACAATCAGCTGTCTTGCCATCAGAGGCCAAGGCGACAGCCTTTGAACATGCAATCAGTTTTGAATCTAGAAGGACGTGTCATCTTCCAGAGCACGAGCAATTTGCACTTCTTGTCCAGAAATGGGAAGCATTGATATCCATCAATTACAAAGCATTCGATCTTGGCATTGACATCGAACATTTGGAATATCAAGAACGCCTGGGCATCATTAGTGAAGTCCTTAGGGGGAAAGCAGTTGCCACGGTCAAACAGAGACTAGGGCAGTTGGGCCGCTACGTTCAGTGGTCGACAGCAGATGCAAAGCGACCGGCCTTCCCCGTCACACCAGAGTTGATCAAGAACTATGTTAGACATCTCCGCAATCAAGATGCTACTCACTCCAATTACACTGGATTTCATGAGGCACTCAAATTTGCCAAGTTTGTGATGGGTCTCCAGTGTGACTTGGGTGCCTTTGAAGCGGCTTGGGTTGCAGGCATCATGAGGACAGCAAGCCAGATGAGACCACTGCGTAAGCAGTCAAAGGTCTTGACAGTGGAGGCGTTGCAATTCCTCGAGCGGCAACTGGAAGACAAGCAGCTTCCGTCAGTTGACAGGTATGCCATCGGAGTCATCTTGTTTGCAACATATTCAAGGGCCAGATTTGGAGACCTCAGGGGCATCTCTGAAATTTTTGTCGATGCAGTTTCGGCCGGTACAAATGAAGGTGTCGGATACCTTGAGATGCACTCAGCATCGCACAAGATGAGGGCAACCGGCAATCGACTTGGAGCCCATTTGCCACTTGTGGCACCATTGAAAGGCCTTGGACCGCATGCCTGGGGCAAAACATTTGTCGAGCTTTTTCCCAGCAAGTGGGACTTGATTTTACAGCCTGGTGTCAGGTGCAACCTCTGCTACCGGCACCGAACTTGATGGGGGCGTGGACAGACAGGCCAGTTACATCAGGCGAAATTGGGCGTTGGATCCGCCAACTCCTCATCCCCTGCTCCTTTGACAGTATGGGCTTCACACCTCATGGATGCAAGGCGACGACCCTTGCAATGTTGTCGAAATATGGTGTCGCATCAGAGGTCAGGCTTGCACTTGGTCACCATCAGATACAAAAAGGGGCAGCGGAGGTGTATGCTCGGGACACTCAGTCTGCGCCGCTCCGGGTCTTGGAGGCCATGTTCAAGGATATCCGGAATGGCCGTTTTCATCCAGACCAAACGAGGTCGGGCATGTTTCTGCCACCTTCAGAGCAACAAGATGGACCCGGACAAGCAGATGAGGTGACAGACCTCCCACTGCTATCCTTCTCGATCGACCAAGTCTCCCCGACCTCAATGGGTGACGTTGCACCAGTGGTGGCAGTTGATGATGAAACTCAAAGCCAAGAGCAGTCTTGCCAACCTGAAGTTCAGCTATGGCCACTTCAAGTGCCAGAGGAGAGAGGTGTCACAAGTGACAGTGACACGTCAACTGACTCTGATGCTGACAGCTGTGCCACTGAAGTGCTGTGTGAACAAGCATCCACACAAGGTACAGTCCACAAGGATGAAAGCAAACACAAATTCTATCAGCATCGAAAGACGAAGGTAGTGCACTCGGCATCACCTCTTGGTACTTCGTTTTTGTGTGGGCGACGGGTGACGGCCGAATACAGGCCATACCCCGACTGTTTGATTGTAAACTCAATGAAATGTCAACAGTGCCGCGTCAGGACCGATAGTAAACCGGTCGATCAAAATCTTGAGAACATGGATGCGGCGGTCAAAAGGGCCAGACGCCAGTGAGACAAGACGCGAAGGAAAACAATGTTTCATCAGTTGAGAAGTCTCAACATGTCGGAGCGATGTCACTCCAGTGAAGTTTGACACATGCACCTGCGATGTGCAGGAGATCGATCGTCTCTGCCCTTATCATGCTCCAAGCCCAAAAAAAAACTTTTTGCTATTGGACCATGTTTTCCAGTGTTGACATCGCACACATGTGAAACGTGATTGTGCAAATCAGCCTTACATGAAACATCTGTTACCTTTTTCCTTTTGTCGCCTCGACCGATCAGCATGGCAACTATCTTGGACTCCACTGCAGCGTTTGATGCAAGGGCCCTGGAACATGGATTGACAGAAGACCAACTCGGCCGCCTGAAACTCAAAGGCCTCAACAACTTGTCCAAATTAGCATTTGCAATTTCAACGCCGGGCACTAGCCCTGATGATGAATCCCTCAAGACATTGGTCCACGATGATCCTGATAT